TTCTATCTATCTATATGTATGTATATCCATATATAGGCCTATCGCCAAGATGGGACTTATGGGATATGACTAAACGCCCAGGCTCCAAGACGAAGGCGCAGCTCCGGCTTTCCCGTTTCCACTGGATCTGGGCTTGGGTCAAAAAGATGACTCCTCACCAAAACTGTAAACCCAACTTGCCACATTTGATTCTAGTTTTAATCCAAAATCGACCCAAGACCGATGTGGCTTGGGTCAAAACCCATTTTGCTATAGGTGTTTCTGTTTATTTCACAGGCCCTCTGCACCGAAAGCCAAGCCACTTCTCTGCAGGTGGTGAACCCACCCTCACCGGAGAGCTCCAACGCGACGACAAGGCGTCCCAAATGATTGGAGTGATGACCCGCTCTTCTGAGATGCCTACCATACTACCATATTGGGATTGCAACGAAATCATCCGCTTCTCCGACCTATCCCCCAGAAGAAAATGGTAAAACAGGGATGCTAGGACAAGACAGGTTGGAGGTCAGGTGGGAGGCTGTTATGTTTTTGTTCAATGTTGTAAATCTAAATGTTTGACTGTTTCTTTTTGATTATCTTGCTAAATGTGTTGTTGAGGTTGTTGTGATAATGTTTGGATTGAATGAAGGGGATAATTGTTGAGGTGGTCAGAGTTTCTATGTGTAGGTTCAGGTTCAAATTCTACCAAGCTGTTGTTAAAAGATGTCGAATTATTTGCTTCAAATTCATGTATTGATTGAGGTTAGGCGCTGTGGTTCCTGTTTGGTTTTGCATATCAAGCATCCTTCAATACCAAAGCCAGTTTCGCACAAATTGACTGAACCGATGTATTGTCCCTTTTCTTCGACATTCCGCAGATGCATCTTTGTGAGGCAGGTTGAGCTTGCGCCAGGCCGGTTCGTCCTTCCAAGCGGTCATGCACGAACACAGCCCGCAAGGGCTTCTCCGGCGCAGACCGTTAAAACTGGTTGGACGTTGTTGAGCACAGGGAGCATCGTAGTGCTGGTTCTCCAAGCTCTCATTCAAAGGTTCCTTCCTGGCTTCTTCATGAACAGGGCAGTGAGGAAGGCTGGGCAAAGGCTGAAAAGGAAAGAGCCCGCCCCTGCACGGCCTCTCGAGGAGGAATACATCAAGGACTTCATCAAATCACCTCAAGGTGGAGCTTTGAGCACCCCTTCCTTCTTGGTGGTCAGTGGTTCCCAAGGCATTGGGAAATCAACCATGCTGAACAATCTCCTGAGTGAGCATGTGAAGAATGGCAAAAGGGTGCTCCCGCTCAAGATGTCAAGCCGTCCTGGTGAGGACTTGAAACTCAATGAAGCGCTGCCCAAAACATTGCAAGCAGTAAATTTGCCGCGATACTACCCAGAACAAGTGGAGTATATGCTGGAAAAGGTGAACGAGACGTGCAAGCGCCGAACAGGTAGTGCCGTCGTGGTATACCTGCAACTCACAACCAAAAGCCGCGGAGACAAATTTAGTAGGGATGCCTGTGATGACATTGCTCCCACCCTCGGTGCCGTCGCTCGCAACATCACCTACGACAATGCCGCGTGCAAGTTCATTTTGGAGGTCAGCGTGTCTGCTGTGGCCGACATCATCACCGAAAGGTTTAACATGTCAAGGCTGGTGGTGGTGCGACCGCTGCCTTTCGAAGACTTGACGTCTGTGGTCAAGGAGGTGGCAAAGCAGGGAAACGACTTCCGGACGCTGAACAAGGTTCTTGCCGAAGATGACATGGACGAGGTGTTGAAGCACTACTACATCCGCGTGGGGGGCAACTTGCACGCCTTGGACTTGATATTGGAAAACGTCTCCAGAGCAGGTCAGAAAGGTGCGGATGCGGTCATCAAGCGGGTTGAGCAGTGGTACAAGGAGAGGGTGGAACCAATTGAAAGGAAATTGGATGACCAGGAAGTGAAGGACTATCTCCTCCAGGTGGCAGGGGCAGGACCCATGAGGTATCTCCCAGAGAGCGACGAAGACACCAAAATGAAGTTGAAGCTTCTTCGTGAGGAGCCAGCAGACTGCGTCCTGAGGAGAACAACCAGTGAAACTGTGGCTTTGAAGCATTGGCATTTCGTCGCCAAGCTCTTTCAAGAGGATGAGCAGAAGTTGAGGGATGCAGGATACATGTGAGCTTCGCCGGTGAAAAAAACTGTGACGCTTGGGATGTTTTGTGGGTGAGTCATCCAAGAGTAATTCTCACATATTGCCTGCATAACCGCAGATACCCAACCCTAGTATCAATGATACCCAGATACCAGTATCTAAGTATCAACGATACCCAGAGCCTAGTATCAATGATACCCAGATACCAGTATCCAAGTATCAATGATACCCAGAACCGAGTATCAACGATACCCAGAACCGAGTATCAATGATACCCCAAACCGAGTATCAATGATACCCAGATACCAATATCCAAGTATCAACGATACCCAGAACCAAGTATCAATGATACCCTGATACCAGTATCTAAGTATCAACGATACCCAGAGCCTAGTATCAATGATACCCAGATACCAGTATCCAAGTATCAACGATACCCAGAACCGAGTATCAATGATACCCCAAACTGAATATCAATGATACCCTGATACCAGTATCCAAGTATCAATGATACCCAGAACCGAGTATCAATGATACCCAGAACCGAGTATCAATGATACCCCAAACCGAGTATCAATGATACCCAGATACCAATATCCAAGCATCAACGATACCCAGAACCAAGTATCAATGATACCCTGATACCAGTATCCAAGTATCAACGATACCCAGAACCGAGTATCAATGATACCGTGATACCAGTATCCAAGTATCAACGATACCCAGAACCGAGTATCAATCATTCACCGAACAAGCAACAACAGACAAATCGTTTCACCCTGAATTTTTTTAGCCAAACCATCAAACACGGACAAATCGTTTCACCCTCAACTTTTGACAAAAGCATGAAACACGGACAAATCGTTTCACCCTCAACTTTTATAGCCAAACCATCAAACACGGACAAATCGTTTCACCCTGAACTTTTGAAGACAAAAATCCTTACTTCAACAAGTGTCCTAAAACCATCGTTTTAGCGTTCAAAAAACATCAATTTGGGACACTTGTTAAACACACAATTTTTAGAGCAACAGACCCAAAAACACATAAAGAAACGACGCCTTATAGAATCAAAAATTGAATATGCCCTGCTATATGTATATTAACGGTATGAAGCAAAAAATGAACGAAGACCTTTTTGACCAAATGGCGGAAGCACTACACCAATCCAGCAACCCTCAAAATCCACCAACCACAACATCCACAAGATGGAAACCCGACGGAACTTACGACAAGAAACCATTAGACCCCAATTATTTTTCAAAGTATTATCAAAAGAAATTATCAACCCCTTTCACCTGTCCAGACTGCGGACGAACCATCACAAGCAAATCCAATCTATCAAAACACCGTCAAACCAACAGATGTATGAACAGCAGACAACACTAAAAATAAAACCTTCTCATTAACAACGCTTTGTTAATCAGAATGTTTTATCTATTCATTGTCCATTCCCGTTTGTTTGACACAGTTGTTCTTTTGATGCCATAGAGCATAGTATTGAAAAAATTCACGCTTACAAAACGGACATTCAACCTTCAAAAGGCGTTGTTCTATTATTTTCTCTTCATTCAAACGGCGTTTTTCTATTATTTCCTCTTTATGTTTGTGATAGTATGCTCTGGCACGTGCCTTGCCTCTTTCATAGTATTCTCTCGCTTGCTCTGGATTGTCCAGTTTCCACTCCTGTTGCGTCCTACCTGCAATCTGTCTATTGACACATTCTGTTGCTTTGATATCCACCTTCTCTTTTGAACAATTCTTCCTTACTTTGACACGGGTAGTTCTCAATCAGTTCAATCTTACAATTCTCAATACCGAATTCATTGAATATATCTATTGTGGTTGTCTTCTTTTTCATCCTCCCTTTGATGTATTCCTTATATTGTTTTCTATGTCTTTCCATTCTTTTACTCAAACTTTCACAGGCGCTCCCAATATAGCATTTATTATATCCAACATCTGTAATTTTGTAAATCTTTCCGTTTTCATACCTATTCATACCTATATTTACCATAAGTTGCCATTTCTTTAAAACAATTTATCAAGTCAAACGACGGTGTCCTCACGTTGGACTTCAACCCAGAACCCAATGACCTAAAAACTGAACGAGAGCCCAAAAACTACTTAAAGAAATGATGTTTTATAGATTAAGGAGAATATGGGAGAGGGTGTAAGGTTAAAAAATGAAAATTTATCTCAAAACTTAATCCACCAACAACCCAATCATCCGCAACATCCTCAACAAACAATTCACACTGAAAAACTACTTAAAGAAACAGAATATTATAATAATATAGATTATACTATAATGGACACTTCACAGCAGATTGTTTTAGATTATCTTTTGTCATCCGAAAAGGGTGAGATATTGAAACGGAATGGAGAAGAACTCAATTCGTCTCTGGTTCTTTGGTAAGGGATTTCATATCCATTATGTCAATCTGATACTCAAACCTTGCGAAGGGTGCGGTGTAGGAGTTTGAACCCCTGTATTTTCTAATCTGTTTGTTGGGCTGTTTCCTCATAAAGTTTTCCACATCCACCCTGTTGATGGTCTGGTCTTGTTCCTTTGCTTTCTTGAGGGTCTCACTGATTGAACCGAAGCCCGTTTCCAGATTGTAATAGACATTGCTTATGATGTCATCTCTTGATAGTCTCCTTGCCATATATTGTAATATTAGATTTTTAAACATATCAACAGTAAAAAAAAATACTTAAAGAACACACACATATATATAGTAAGACTAAATAAGATGACTAAATTTGACTGTGGATGTCGTATTATGACAGATGTTATATCCCTGAACGGAAGAAACCAACCTAATTGGAACTACTTGCTCAAAACCTTTGTGAATGTGTGTGGAAAGTGCTACAGGAAGCAAATAGAATTCCAATATATGGAAAACAAACTTATGGAAATGGAAAAGCAACGAATGGAAATGTTTATGGAAAATGAGGATGAAGAACACGACACATACTTTGACCTGACAGAGTTGAAGGACAGAGTTGAAGGAACATCTCAAGACCCTCCCACCCAATGAAAGACACAAAGTGAAGGATTTTGAGAGGTTAAGAAACCTCGCCAATGGACAAGACCCCAATGAAGGAATGAGTGAAATTGATATGGTTATAAAGGAACTGGAAGAGGAGGAAAGGGAAAACAAAAACCAACCCGAACCCGAAAACTGAACGAGCCCCCAGAAACTACTTAAAGAAAAAATGACTATATATAGTAAGAGGATGCTATTTACATATAAAAACTGTGGGTGTTGTAAAAAAGAAATGACTAACCAAAAGGTTTTATTGAACAAGATTTTCCCTGCTAGAATTTGTGATGAGATATGTAGTTATAATCTTCACTGTTCAAAATGTAAAGACTTGAGAGAAAAGGAGTATAGATATATAACATACAATCAAGACTACTTTGAAGATAAAGAAATCAATTCAGTAGCAGAAAAACAAATATATGTCTTTAAAACAAGGATGGAAGCATCGCCAATAGATTTGTCTGATAATGTGAATGACCGACAAATGAGAAGAGAAATATACATATTGATGAAAAGTCCTACACTGAAGAAAGGCATATTTCTTCAAGCGACTAAATCTTATGTAAAGAAAAACTTGGGACATACATATCAAATGCTTGAAGATCTTCACAATATAAAAGCAATAAAGAATTCTTGGATGTTTCCTAGCTTAAACCGTTATTATGAATTTAGAAGTATAGATTTCAGATTAAAAGACCTATTCAAGCTTTTCTTGCGTGAATATACTAAAGAATTATTCAAACACTATGAGCATTACATTAATCAAGATGAAATAAAAGAACACCTACAAAAAGTGATAGATACTTAAAGAAAAAAATACCTATATATAGTAAGTGAAGAATGCCAATGATTGGAGTTAGTGAAGAGGAACTAAAAAGAGATAGAGAAAGATTAATGAATTTCATAAAAGAAAATCCTTATCCTGATTATCACTTTATAGAATATGACCTACTACTTAAGCAAAAACAATCTTTAGAGCAATACGCAGAGTATGGAGAGATAAACCACGACCTTATGAAAGAAAATTATGAAAACATATTTGATAAAGATTTAATCAAAAAACACGGTGAGAGGATACACCATAGAGGAGGAAGGACAGCATTACAACAAAACTATTATACACTATTGTCAATGTTGGGATACTTGATTGACCAACGAGGACTTGATAGAGACACAATCATTTTGGTGTTCTACAACATCAAAACGATTGTTTCTCAATGTTGGGATGGAATAGGTAGTGGTGATGAAAAGTGGAGACACTAAACCTAACGATTAGTTCATAATATCTTAATAAAATATATTATAATGCAATCCACCTTAAAAACCCCTTAAAGACATAACCCCTTAAAATTGTAGAGGTATAATGACTGACAAAAAGCAGTGTTCTAAATGTAAAGTCTTTCAACCGTTAGACTACTACAAAAATGAATGTAAGCAGTGTAATAAATGTTTAGAAAACAAACGCAGATACAGGGAACAGCACAAAGAAACTTTAAAACAATATGCTCAACAATACTACGAAAGGAAAAAGGAAGAATTAAGTGATAAAAAGAAAGAAACGTTGGAATGTCCAATTTGTAAATGTGAAGTAAGAAAATATACAATGAAACGACACGAAGAAAGCATCAAGCATCAAATGAACATTAATGGACACTATCTCATACAGTAAAACCACAACAACCTCAACATACCCTACCCTCATCCAAACCAAACATTAATCAAACAACTCCGACGAAACATTTAGCAAGATTAACAGAAAGAAACAGTCACACATTTAGATTTACAACATTGAACAAAAACATAACAGCCTCCCACCTGACCTCCAACCTGTCTTGTCCCAGTTCCCCTGTTTTACCATTTTTTTCCCAGCCTTCTGCGTTGAGATGGGTCTTTTCCCAGCCATTTCAGGAACAGCCTTTCCAGCATCACGCGGGTCCTTCAGGTCCGACAGATGGGTGGACAAATAGATTGATTTGCATGAAACCCTTCGTGCTATAGGCAAGTAGATGTTTGAATGTCCTATTTTTGTACAAGGATGTGGGTGTTGTTGCCCAAAATAAAGCAGTTGTTGCTAAGAGATTGCTTTCCCTTCGAAACTCTTGAGAAACAGTCAAATTCTAGATGATCGGTCACATCCTTTATGTTTCCTTGCAATTCTTCAGCCGCCCCGCTGTCATCAAGACCCGTATGGAATCTGTTCATTGTCCCGTCGGTCCCGTATGGGTTTTGTTTTCTCTTTAGGTGGATGGGATTCATGTGATACTGATATAGCCAAATTTTTGTAATATGATTTTAATATGTGTTTTAGACAATTTTTATAGGTATTTTTGGATCAAAACATTGACCATGGGCTATTCACATGGTAGTTGCAAGGTAAACCCTTGGTCGTTACGAGGCGGTTCGCTCCACCCGAGCCATCCAATCTGCCGGAAGACCCATCAGAGTTGATGCTATACGGGGTACCCTGAAGTACATGTATGTATTATATATATACATATATCAATACATTTACAAACGTTCTCTTACAAATATGTGTATATACATATAAATATGTGTATATACATATAAATGTATGTATATACGTATATATATATATAACATAACCAACAAATATGATTTGGGTTTGTCAAAAGCTAGGGTACCCCAAAATCAACAGTGTCTTTTTCCATTTCTCCACTCCTTAAGACCGCAGTTTGAAGGATGTTCGCCATTTATGTACAAACTTACAAACGAGTACTTTGTGGGCAAATTCAAGAGTTTTTTTGGTCAATGCTAGGATTAAATGAACCATCCAATATGTACAGGATACGCAATTGTTTATCATTATTCTCGTCATTGAAATTTTGTAATTTGGCCGTTACATCCCTGCATTTTGAGACAAACCTAAATCATGTCTGTTGGTTATAGTGCAGGATAGTATAGTCTAGTATAGTATAGCCTAGCAAAGTATAGTATAGTACTACAGTGTAGTATAGTATGGTCTGGTATAGCACGGGATTGGTGTAATGTGGTGTAGTGGAGTGTCGTATCTTTTTGTCGTGTCATGTCGGGTAGGGTAGTGCATTGGAGTCCAGTGCAATGCAAATTTACATATTATCCCCAGATGAATAATCCATAATAATGATAAGGTAGTATTAAGTTGATGATCCAGTATCTATAAATTCTATAATAAATATCCCCAGAATCTTATATCCCCACATCCCACATTATCCCCAGCAAATCCCCATCAAATCCCCAGCAAATCCCAATTCAGTTTACCACTTTTCACCACTGTTCTTGGTATCAATCCCATTTTGCTATCGATCATCCGAAAAACCGGGCACACCGACCCAGGCCTGGAGAGCCAGGAAGTCTTCGGAGAAGGACCGGACCAGCAAAACGGGTAGTGGTGATATATGTTATAAATATATATATATATATTTGCCATTAGTAACTACAAGCCATTAGAACGTAGCCAAGTCTTGAAGTAGCTTTTTGGCCAGCTTTTTTTTTTTGGCTGCTATACATGTTTTGTTGATGTACACAGTGTACACATTATGATTTCTTCTCTGGAGGAAGCTGCTACGGCTTCAGGCACCGAGTCGGGATCCTCAGACCAAGTGGGCATAGCAAGTCACGGACCGTGCAAGCCTCAACATGTCATTTTTTGCATCGAAATAGGATTCATAAGTCATCAGAAGTCCTCATCTTTCAGGTTATTCTCCTATTCACCAGCCCCCAAAACTGGGCTTTTGGTGACCTTTGGTAAGGGCACCTTTCGATTTCCATGGTAGGACCGATAGGAGGGGATGAAGATAGCCAGGGGCATTTACCATGGCCGCCATGACCATGGCCAAGGTAGTGTGCTGCCTCAACTTGAGAGGCAAGCTGAACTTCTGTTTCTTCGTCTGAAAAAACTCATCGGGATCCATCAATTTTAGTCATTAGAACGAAACCATCCCATGTTTGGTGCCTCAATTCTCATGACTCAGATATATTTTCACCCTTGGGAAATCCCCTTTAACGAGTTTCAATCATCGAACTAAATGGGAGACTTCCATTGCCGTGTTTGATTACCAGAGGGTAAATCCCCATTACTAAACCACTATCAACCATTTTTTTAACTATGGTATACCACTAGTAACCACTATGAATCCCATGAAGTATGAACCACTAGTATTATATCATTATTATATCATTATTATATCATTATTATATCATCATTAACCAGTATGAACCATTTATTCATCCATCTATTGACCCTTCAAGGCCAACCATCAAGGCCACCGCGCCGCGCTCGGTGTTTAGACGTTGCCAGGTGTCCGTCCATGGTCCAGAAGTTCCTTGGGATCGATGGTCGATGGGTCAATTTGGTGAATTGGAACCTGCCTATGAAACCACGAACATCATGAAAATCATGAAATAAGGAGGGTAAGTTTCTGGACTTCTGTTGGGATGCAGCACCCATTGGGCCAAGTGCACTTGGTGAACTTGGCAGTCTATCACCAGGAGGTGATATAGCATCAGATACCATGGTGCTGTAGGAAGTCACGTCACAACGTCCCATCCTGAGGCGATCTGATGCGGCCTGAAACGTGCCGTGCCTAGAATCCGTGCCGTTCAAAAGAGAGGGCCTTTATAGCTATGTCAGCTATGGGTCAGTTCATCTTGGTACACAGGCTGTTCACTTCAACAATTTGCAAGGATATAGTCGTTGATGGTAATTCCCCCCATGGACATGGCCGATTTTCCCAGCATTGGATGAAAGGATCATTTGCAGGAAGGCCTAAAATTTACCGCTGGGAACCGCGGGTTTCCTGTACATTCTCCCTTACACCGACTCAATGACAAAAAGTTGTTGCCTTGTTAAAGTCTTTTGTTGGATGTAGCGAGGCATCGAACGTTGCCCAACAGGCAGACAGGCGGATGTGTAGGAAAAAAACCGACAATTTGCAAAGATTCGCTGCTGAAAGATGCTGCAAAACTTCCGGTCGCGATGTTTGGCACGGGGCATAGTTACAGATGGGAGTGGGCTCCGATTGAAGGCCCCCCACACATATATAGACCCCTCTTAAAGCAGCCAGCTTTTTGGGTACCATTTTGCCACTAGATTCGTTGTTTTTCATGGCCATCATCTTTTGTAACCCGTAACTTGACGCTCTGTAAGCTTTTGAGAACATCGCAACCAGACCCCAATATGCGATCTCGAAATTTCTTGCCCACGTAGTAGGAGCGTTTCACTGTGGGCTTTATACCCAAATCTATCTGCAAGGAAGCGTGGACGTGATGGTTTATTTGGGCATGGCTCAAAATGATTTGAAAAAAATTATGAGCCGTAGCCATTTGTACGCGAATGTCCCAGCATTGGTTCAAGGGAACATTAACAGGGGGCCCCATATTTCAGCCCAAAAACCATGGTTTCCTGTAAAGACATTCATAAATCAACTTATCGAAAATGCAAAAAGAACTGAGTGAGTCTTACGGTCTTACGTACTCTTTTCTTCTTGTTATCCATCACTTCGAGCTTCAAAGCGTTCAAGCCAACTCTCAGAGCTTGCTTTGAAGGAAAAGGTTTGCGGCTGCTCTGGGGTTCCATGTTGCATTTTTATGGGCAAATTTGAGCGACCTCACTGACTGCTCATCCCCCCTCTCAAGTGCATTGGTGAAGAGAATTTTTCTTGACACACACACACAAAGTGGCGGGGGCTTTCATAGGCTTTCGGCCTTAAGGTAGCAATCCTCTGGCGCCCGAAAATGACTGGTTCCCGACTACAGTAATGACATCTACCAGTTTCTATCAATTCGGAGTCTGTTGCTACGTAGAGGAGCCAGCATGAGTTTGGGTTTGCTACTTGTTGGAAGTACCAAAATTCCCCACATCCGAGCACTGATTTGCCGCTGGGGCCGTTGGCTCAAGCTGAAAATATTGGAGCTGGTTTTTGTTGCAGAGGGAGAATGGCAGCTCCCTCCTCAGCCAAACTTAGAACAGCTAGATATGCGCAATTGAGTTCAAGTACACGATCCAGGTTCAGGAGGTCAATATCAGGACCTGTTGCCCAGGAATCCCCTCTAGATGATGAGATATATACATATGTGCAATGTCTACATATTGCTAGCAAAAACTTCATGCCTATTTTGGTTTCTCTTCTTTCTCAGTTCTAGCAATGTTCTTATTTTTTTTCACCAGAACCAACCTTTATTTTGTGGCTACCCAGTTTTGTCACTGCAGTTGATTGCTGGCTACTGTAGTTTGTTTTCATACCACGATTTGATCTACGCCCACAGTTATGGGTACAAACATTCTTCACCAAACTCGGTCGGTACGGGGGAATGGACGTAGTGTTTTTGATCTTTAACCAGAACTCTGCAGGGCCATGATACAGTCGGTTTCAGGCTGGCTGTATCATTGGTCTTTGGAATTGTCCATTTCTCTCAATGACTTCAAGACATCATCTGGCTTCATAATATATATATATATATTATACATATTTATTGCACGTCAAGGCACAGAATTTAGCACGAAACAGCGCGGATTTTTCGTGCCTTTCTTTGAAGCCTCTGAAAGCTGGTCCTGAGGTGCCCGTGACGGATCAAGCCTTGGCTGCCGAGGCCGGGAATTATTTGGGGGTTGGACCAACAGAAGCGATCGGATGATAGGCATCAAAGAATTTTTATCATATGATAGCGACAACTGGGGTTACTGGGGCCATAAAAACCATATGTTGAGGACTTTTCAAATTTGCCTACCTGGGATGTGGTTAGCGACGGTCAAAGCAAGAGAAATAGAGGTTTTTTTCCACCCAAACGTGGATCTAACCAGATTGAATAGGGAATAGTGTGCATGTAATTGGGGATGTGCGTCCAAACAATGGAACAATCACCAGCCAATAACAGCATAGAATAGGATACAACCAGCATTCTAGGAACGCATCCAAATTGAAGGCATTTGGAACCACATCAAGAAGAAGCGGGGGAATTAACCACGGATACAACCAACAAGCAGTGCAGATAATCAACCAACGAGGGTGTGCGGAAATGCACCGTGGCAATCTAAGTTGGCAACGGACAATTCTCCATCCATGTTTCGATCATTTTCGTGCTAAACATAGGGAATTTCTCATTCTCAGTCATGTTTACCGGGGGCCGATCCCCAGTTTTAGTTTGTGAGACTCCATGGTTGTTGGTTATCGCATACGTTTGCATTTTTGCTGGTAGAACCACAGGTTTTGCATGAGAAAACCCACGATTTTCATGCTGACGTTCCTGAGGCGTTCTCCCCGGTGAAGGCAAAAAATGTGGAGGCGAGATGCCTCAGAATGGTGGAAAAGGAAGACACAGATCCCGGGACCAGTCGGGGATGGTTTGAATTTCTCCCAAACTCACAAGTTTGGCAAAATTTTCTGAATTTAGCATCCCATGTTTTGGATACAGTATCCAAGTATGATTCCAGACCGATATATATATAACATATAGTATAGTATAATATAATACAATATAATATTATATTTTTTATATTATATTATATTATATTATATGATATTATATATATTATATTATATATTATATCTCTCGTTCTCTTCTCTCTCTCTCTCTTCTCTCTTCTCTTCTCTCTTCTCTCTTCTCTTCTCTCTTCTCTTCTCGCTTCTCTTCTCTCTTCTCTCTCTCTCTTCTCTCTTCTCTTCTCTCTTCTCTTCTCTCTTCTCTTCTCTCTTCTCTCTCTCTTCTCTCTATCTCTTCTCTTCTCTTCTCTTCTCTCTTCTCTTCTCTCTTCTCTTCTCTCTTCTCTTCTCTCTTCTCTTCTCTCTTCTCTTCTCTCTTCTCTTCTCTCTTCTCTCTTCTCTTCTCTTCTCTCTTCTCTCTCTCTCTCTTCTCTCTTCTCTTCTCTCTTCTCTTCTCTCTTCTCTCTTCTCTCTCTCTTCTCTTCTCTCTTCTCTTCTCTCTTCTCTCTTCTCCTCTCTCTTCTCTTCTCTTCTCTCTTCTCTTCTTCTCTTCTCTCTTCTCTTCTCTTCTCTCTTTCTCTCTTCTCTTCTCTCTTCTCTTCTCTCGTCTCTCTTCTCTTCTCTCTTCTCTTCTCTCTTCTCTTCTCTCTTCTCTTCTCTCTTCTCTTCTCTCTTCTCTTCTCTCTTCTCTTCTCTCTTCTCTTCTCTTCTCGTCTCTTCTCTCTTCTCTTCTCTCTTCTCTTCTCTCTTCTCTTCTCTCTTCTCTTCTCTCTTCTCTTCTCTCTTCTTATCTCTCTCTTCTCTTCTTCTCTTCTCTTCTCTCTCTCTCTTCTCTCTCTCTTCTCTCTGCTCCTCTCTTCTCTTCTCTCTTCTCTATCTCTCTTCTCTTCTCTACTCTTCTCTTCTCTTCTCTCATCTCTCTTCCCTCTCTCTCTTCTCTCTTCTCTCTTCTCTCTCTCTCTCTCTCTCTCTCTTATCTCTTCTCCTCTCTTATCTCTTATCATATTATATTGCAATATACGGGGATATACAGATTTGATTAGTATTGGAAATGCTGCAGATTGCTAACAATACCCTCGACTCGATATATTCAACAGATTTGGCCGAGCCTATTCCAGCTACGATAGTTTAAACTACAGAATTTCAAAAACTGATAGTCAATTATTCATTCTTTTTGGATCTTTTTGGGGTTCACAATTTTGAGCCAGACCAATATGGGACTCCACAAGTCATCAAACATCATTTTCCTCTCCATCGGCACGAGGTAGATGGAGGTGACAAAGATGAGGTGCAAAGATTGAGCTGAGATTTCTGTCATTGTCCAGAAATGGGGGATTTTCTCCAGATGGCCATTTTTTCGGGCAATGAGGCTTTTTCAACCATGATTTTTTGTGCAGCTGGCGTCCTCTCAGCTCCAGGTGGATGTTGCAAACAAAGGGGAGCTCGATTGTGAAGGCTGAATTTTGCACCGGTGTCTACAAGAAATTTCCCGTATGTGGGACTATGATCCACAATTTGGTGGGATAAACATTGCAAGAATTTACTTTTCATATTTTTCATGTTCTATCATATTCTATATCTATATGTTTTATGTATGTATATTTACCATATTTTTGCTCAATCGATGTATGATTCATAGAATTGGATAATGGGAAAATTTACAGGAAAACCCTATATTTGATGGTAAAAACCATGGTTTCCTGTAGATTTTCCCTTAAACCAATCCAATGTATGATATTCTTCAGGGCTTTAAAACAACTGATTTGGATCAGGCAACGCGAACGTGAAGACTCCGGAGGAGTCCAAGATGCGCCGGGTGCCACGACCGTCCGGGTCTCCGGTGAAGTTTTCCCAACCGGGCGCTGTGTGGTTAGAGGTGCCAAACAAACAATATACAATATACCCTCTGGTAAACTAACATAGCTATGGAAAATCACTATTTTTAATAGGAAAATCCACTATAAATGGCCATTTTCAATAGCTATGTTAGTTTACCAGAGGGTATATATATATAGATATATTACATACACAATGGGATGAAAAATCACAAGACATTGAGATTATCAGTTGGGTTAGTCTGAAAATAGGGTAGGCCATTTTGAAAATGGATCATGATTTTCCCTATTTGATGGCCGTTGGGGATATCCCTATTCTCAAACAATCACATTTAATGTTATAATCCCATAAAATTCAGTTTCGTGGTTAGCTATGAAAACGTCGACAAGAGCATTCCGGATTCCGGTTCTGTTTTTTTTTGGTCCCACGCCGTGCTCTTCCAAATTGGAGGAAGCAAAGAACTTGTTTTCTCTTTACAGCTTTGGGGCAACCCAGAGTCAAACTCCCAAAATCACTGAAGCCTCCAATAATCCAACCTGATAATGGACAAGGCAACCTGAATTTCTAGATGAGTTTCCCCTATTTTCCTGTTTCATGATTGGTGTTTCCCATGGCCAGGCAAGATTACTGGAGTATAGAAGTGATATGGGATGGCTCAAAATCTAGGTTTTTCCATTCTAACAGGGGATGAACCTCCGCAAAAATCACCATTACCTCAGGTTTTTGGAAATCGACACCGAAGAGGACTGGCCAGGGATGGACATCTGCCTATGGGTCTCGTTTGCCCCATATATTGATATGGTTTCATGTTTCATATCCGAGTTTTGAGCCGATTGAAGGGATTTTGGTAAACACATCTTTGAATATCATACCAAATTCATGTCCGCGAGCCAATCACGAGCTCATACTACCGTCAATACGGCACGTGATCCATCGGCTCCATGTCATCTAGCTCGAACATGGGGATACTCCTGTGTCAAAGTTGGGTATCACAAATTGATATGGAAGTTGTTAGAACAAGTAAGACGAACCCACGGCTGTGGTTGTTTTTGACGTTGTTGCTTCCGAGCATTGCTTTGAGAAAGTCGAACATCGAAACGGAAACCATCAAATGGATAGTGTTTTTGAAGCCAGCCAGTTTCCAGATTTTCCCAGTTTCAATGGATTGGTTAAAATTTACAGCCCCATCATGGGGAAATGGATGATATGGATGTTTCCAGTGTAGATTTTCCCTTGAAACAACTGCAGCCACTGCAGCCGCCAGGATGAAATGACCTCGTTGGACTACAGCGAGAGGCGTATCTCGCTGGACATGACACCGCTCTCCTGCAAGTCCACCGACAGCTCCGCCGAGTGCCAGGGATGACGGGACGGGGGATTTTTTCATGGGCTTAGAGAGAAATGGGGGGAATGGGATGGGGCATCAACAGGTTTTTTTTTGACTTTGAAATAGGCATAAGGCTTGACATATGGGATTTTTCTAATGATTTTAGCAACCAAATTTGGGATTGAAGTGATGTTAATTTAGCAAAACCCAAGACTTCAGGGGAACCATTGCCCTGGAGCTTGGCAGCTGAATGCGGGGATCAAAATCATTGGATGTGGCACGAATGGGACAGGTACCAAAATTGACATGGAAGGTCCGTAGAAGATCCGTAGGTCCGTAAGCTTGCAGGAGTATGACTTGTGCACTTACAGAGATCCGGAAAAACGAGGGTGAGGTGAAGAATTCCAGGCATAAAGCATCATAAAGCCAGCGGGATGCAGATGGTTGCAGGAGTTTGCAATGGGCCAATGTCCAGGTGTCCCGGGCTTTATAAAGAACTCTGGAATTGATGGAGGGATCCGATCAGACCATGAGTGCTCCTCCCCCTGTGAGGTATCACCACCCAAATCAAACTATTATCATCTTCGACTGGGATGACACGGTGCCTTCCCGCTTGGAGAGTTGCTGATGTGCCTGCATGAGCTGCCCTGTTTGTCATCCGAAGTTCACGCAGTGTGCGTTTGATGGCAGGTTGGCTCAAGTCAGTCTTGAGTCAGACAAAAAAGTCACAGCTTGCCCCAGGCGCCTGTAAGGGCATGATTTGGGGCGACCCTTGGAGCATGGTTCAAAATTACCCCCAATAACGGCTGGTTCAACATCTCCGTCAATCCTGAAGTTACTCAGTTAGTCACTTTGGGTCCTTTCTGACCCAACAAGTTCTCAGCTGATACGTAAAACGCTCAGAAATCCCAGGATTCGGAACTTCCAAGGTCATCATGAAACCCTTTGAGCAGCAGTTGAAGCCCATTGGTGGACAAGTTGGCTCGGGCCTTCATACTATAAGTATCTATAAGTTACTACAAGGCTTAAATCTGGTGATATAAGCCACAATCACAGGGGATTGAAGCTCAAAAAATGAGGATCTCACCAAAATTGCAAAACGCTGGGGCCAAAAAAGGTCCAACACGACCTGTGTTGATCCAGCCATGGCAGAGAATGCCTTGGGCAAGGTGATGGTGATTGGTGGAGGCACGTTTTCTGTCGACTTTCATGAGATCTATTGAGGGATTTAGCATGATTTACTTCCAGGGAAATAGCCGAACATGGGGAAGATCATGATGAAACGGTGGATTCTATTCTTGGATTGTTTTCAGATTTGCAGATATACTGATATGCCATGATATGTAGCTCTACATGTGAAACAACAGGGAAGCCGTTCGCAGGCGTGGTGTTTTGCTGTATGTATAATTTTGACTTCTTTGTTAATCAACCAGTAGATTCAGTAGATAATTAATCCAGGCTGTCGTGAAGCAGCCGGTTTCGACACACCCCCTTCGATGACAGGTGGCTGGGTTGGATCTGCGCTTGCCTTGGAACTCTTGAGACGCAGAGAGGACTGGGGGACGAGCCCATCGTTGGGATTGGCAGGAACTTCCGTGGAATTTGGTGCTCAGCTCTCTTGATTGCTTAAATCATCCGGGTGGCTTTCCACTCACTCCAAGTGGAGAGAAGTCACACCAATTGATGCAGATCGAGAAGCGGGTGCAGGTACATCTTTTGACTTCTCCCGCGAATCCACAGCAATTTCCGTGATGGCGGTGAACATAGCACAAGTGATCCTGGCCAGGTGAAGTTCTTTCCAATGGGTAAATGCCAGATTTTTTTAAACCAAATACCCCAGTCTTGGCTCATATTTAAAAAATCCATTCCAAGTGATCCAAAAAACATGAGCCACCAATAGATCATGAAACATGTGAAAACCAAACATATCATTGAACATTGAACATCCATACAGATCGAATCCGTCAATGGAGAAAAAACATAGTTTCAGTTTCAGTTTTAACCGGTATTTTAGACTCCAAGTTCATCAAATATATAGACTAGATATGACTAGATTAGATAGTATAATTGACTAGATAGTTCATAGCAATTCTAATGTTATTACTATGCAAGCGAATAATGATTGACAATCTGACATGACAGATAGTGAATAGTAATAGTAATATACCCATGATATGTCAGAAGCCATTGATAACTGGCGGACTATCTAATAGTCTAGAACAATAGGATAATCACTCTGTACACTAGCACATAATACATTTGGTTATTTAACATAGCTGTGGAAAATGAACCATTTATGGATGATTTACCTATATTTACCTATTAAACACGTTTTTTTTTTTCCGTAGCTACTGTATGTTAAATTACCATAGGGTAAATCCCATTTCCCATTTTTGCTTTGCTTAAATCCCATTAGCACCATTTTTGGTTGGTAAAATTACAATTTTTCTATAGTCTATCTGACTTAGCCAGGAGCTGGGCGTCGCCCATGTGGTGGTGGCTGATCTTCCTGACGCTTCCAAGCTCAAGTGGCTAAGGCAACAGGCTGAGGCGAAAGGTGCAGGAGTTCCAGGGTCGCGGTGGTTCATGGGAATTTATAGGGACATATACCAATATGTAGATGATGTAGATGGCTAATACTGAACATATACTGAACTCTGTGGTTCCATAGGGCTTAAAGTTTGGCTCGTCCCCATATATATATATGTATATAATATACACATACATACATAGATACATGCATGCATGCATACATGCAGACGCGCAGACATGCAGACATACAGACATACAGAGAGTCAGACATGCAGACATGCAGAAATGAAGACATACAGACATACAGACATACAGACAGACAGACAGACAGACAGACAAACATACAGACATACAGACATACAGACATACATGCATACATGAATACATGCATACATGAATACATGCATACATATATACAGTACATTGATACATACATACATACATACAGGCAGGCAGGCAGGCAGGCAGGCAGGCAGGCAGACAATATACACACACACATGCACATACATATATATATAAACATCCCCAAATTTCATAGATAACTACATAACGTACTCAGACTGACAAAGTGTAGCAGTGCACCTGCTTCTATCATTTTTTTAAAAGACATTTACCCATCATATGATGTATTTTTGTTGCAAGTATGACCCACATATCATCGTTGATCCATTTTTGTACGGGGGAACGCCTGGAATTGGGTCCTCAGCACTCAAGACCTTGATCTTGGAATGTGTCGAAGAAACCCAGATGTAGCTTCCATGTTTTGCATGCAGGAGCTTTGCTGATGGAGCGGGTTTTGAATGTTGCCAAACCAAAGGAAGTGACGCGGTGCTTGAATTTGGCGGGGTAGAGGTAGGGATCCCCACCCCACCATGTCTTGATACGCACGTGTAAAAAACTTCATTTACACTTCAAGACCGTAATGCCATCAAATGGGGATACGTCCAAACTGATAATGCCTTGTTTCGCTGGGATGAACATCCTTTTGCCAGCTATTTTTCATCGGATCTGGCGCCCGTGCCCATGCTGCTGCCCCAGCGGCTGTTCGCCAGACCCAGCACATCAATCCAGACATTGATTACATTCATCAAGATATGCTGGGTTATGACATTGTGAAAACCCTCGTACTGGAATAAACATTTTGTAAACGGGTTTCTATGCCACACAGGCGGACAGAGGTTGATTACCCATCTATCAGAATTCATACGTCCATAATGGATAAAGAACAATACACCATCATTTTTGAGTATTCTTTGATTCATCCAACAAAAAGACAATTTCACATCAACATTGGATTCCTAGTCACCTGTTAGTGTTGCTCAAACTGGAGTAAATTGAGAGTTTCTGCCAGTTCATGCCTTTGTCCGCCTTTCCCCTTTACTCTGAGTATGGGACAGGGTGAAAAAAGGCGGGGGTACCACCCAGCCCCAGGGATGGGGCAGGGTCTGAGGTACAGCAGCTCCTCGGGCATGAGAAACCGCAAACCATCTTCAACTTGGCAGCGGTCATCGAGATGAGACCCGAGGCGTGGCTAACTGAGCCGGTTGGAACAGGAGGTTTGATGCTGACTGAAGGGGCTTTTCAACAGCCAGAATGGATCAACATGGTGATATATTGGGCATTTCATGGGGATATCATGATATTATTTGGAAATTATGGGGTTCACCATTGGGATCACCGATATGGGATGATTTTGGGATTAGCACTTGAGCAATTTATGGGACGATTACAATTGTTGGGGAGCAGAGCTTCACTGTGGAGGTCTCTGAGGCGTCCATGACTGCGGTGAATACAAAGGCAGTGGAGTTTCTACTGAAGGAGATCACATGTGTACCTTGGTGACCTGAAGTTATTTTGTCATATTTTGTGTTGTGGGCAGCGTTTTTTGATATATTCTTGGATTTTCGTCCATTTTCTTGGGGTAAGTTCACGAACAATGGGAATTCAACCAGCAAACATCAGCGAACTATGGATGTTTTTTCCCCTACCTGCCAGGTTATGGTTGCTAGATGATCTTATGGCAGTTTGCTCCTTTCCTCCTCCTCCTCCACTCCTCCACAACCTTGTTCCGCTACAGCAAACTCGCAGTCTGTCACGGGCTCACCCGGCCCGAACACTGTCATGAGCTACCCGCGATCGAGCACTTAGTGTGAGCTCACGGACTTTCTTGGGCCCGCCACACCTGAACACAGAATATCTATTTTTGAGCCAGCGTGTCGGAATATTTCAGATAGAATATCAGAACATTTGTCAGATGAAATGCCACATGTCTGATAAACTGTAAGAATGCCGGTCAACAAAAATGTCAGAACATCTGTCAGATAGTACTGTATATGTCAGATAGAACGTCAGAATATATGCCAGATAGAATGTCAGAATTTATGCCAGACCGAATGCCAGACAAAACATGACAAAACGTGAGATAGAATGTCAGAATATGTGTCAGATAAAATGTTGTCAGTTTCCGTATATTTAATGCTGGATAAGGTGTGATGCAATGCTGCTTGGTGGGGATTGACATGGACGGACTGCCTTTCTTTCTAAATGCAAAAAACCACCATCACCAGCAATGAATTTCTAACCATTGAACTGGCGAATACCATGCCCTAACTTTGGAGTACCGCTTGTATAAAACGGGGATATATGATACTTTATGATACATAGGCAACAAATGTTGGGCTGTAGCTCCCCCACTCCATCTGTTAGTTTGTCTACTTTCGAGGTGCTGCTTGAACAACCTAGCGGGACGAGACATGATACCACCGGCAATTGACGTGCATTGTTCGTAGAGTCCGTGTGTTTGGATTCTACCTGCATCATCGAACATTTGTTGGAAACGTCCTTTCTTTTCTAAGGCTTCTAGCTGCATTTTCCACATCTCCATTTTTGCGATTCATTCTATGTTCATGACAAAGGAGAAAATGGAGAAATCATACATATGCGCTGGTGCTCCCAAGTTGATCCCCCTACTGAGTGATGTCTCAGTGGTGAAGTGATCAACGAAAGATGGAAAGGGTAACCAACCAATATTGGACCAATATTGCTATAAATGGGACTCAACAATTTTCAAGAACCATTGCATACTTATCATATATATGTATATGTATATATATATATATGTATATATATATATTCTTATATGTAAATAGCTTCAACAGACTTTAAACTTAAACACATGCTTCAAGAACCTCAGCTGCTTAAACACCGTTTAAACACACTAACAAAACACACTAACAAACCCTCAACAAACTGCTTCAAACACATTATCAATGGGGATTGATGCAGCTGTCTGGTGTGTCCCAGGAACGTTTGGTGCACTTCAGCACCTTCGATGCGGCCTGGGGAGGGAATTGCCTCCAAGCAGCCCCAAAGCCTCCAGAGGAGCCAACATTTGGGATTTAACCAGGAAAGATGGGATTTAGCGAGTAACACCTCTGTGTTTTTTTTTTGCGAGTACACAAAGACGATGATTTAGCCAGTAAAAATGTTGGTTTCTCCTGTAAAAAGTGGGAATTTCACCAGTCACCAGTAAACATGAGGATTTAACCAGTCAAATTGAGGATTTCAATAGTAACATGAGAGAAAAAAGGATTGAATCGGGATTGAATGGGGATATCACGGTTTGGGGACTAAAAATGGGGATTTTGGCTCCCACTGACTCTTAAAGGATGATCATCAAAATTTGGGGGGTATTTTCCGACCCCATACGAGGGTTGAACAAGTGGTATTGAATCTTACTTTTGGATAGTTTTGGGAGTTTGGACCAAGAATTAATTTCTTTCAACAAAAACATGCGCAAGAATGGAGCCGAAAGGACTAGTTACTATTTTTTGTTTATCAACCTTGGCACTCAAAAAATATATCACCCTTCTAGCTAGAGGCAGCTGGATGTCGGTGTGAACAGAAGGGTAGCAGGCTTTTGACTAGTTTCAATACACCTTGGAATGGAACATGTACCGCAATTACAACACAAGGGATCGCAAGGGACCAGTGGAGTTCCAATCGTAGATTATTTCTCACATTTTTTTTGTAGACCAACATATCTAACGTGGCATCTGGCTCGAATGAGCCAATATTTGCAGAAGAAACTATCTGCCGGAGGCTGGTGATATGAGACCTTCCTTGAAAACATGATGTCATGGTGTTCCCAAAACATTTCCCACTTTCCGTAGGAAATGCTAGACATTTTGGATACAGAAATCCACCGCTTTGCTGTCAATTTTCCCTCGAATCAAACCATAGCCCTTGTAAGTTATATAGAAGCGTTTTATAGAAGCTAGTTGGTTTGGTTAAATCCTCGAATGGGTTTCTCTGAAGTTGCTTCATGGCCATTAAAAGAAGAGACAACGGTGGTCATCAATTGGACTTTGGGGTTAGTTTTACGCATAAGAATCAGACAAACCTAAAGCCTAAATGATTTCCCTGCCATCAAAGCCTCCAAAGATGACTTTCCACTCAAAATGGGCTATTTTCATGGCCTAATGGAGTGTAATCATAGATTAATGGACATCATGATCATGATGAAAATTATGGCTTTCCACTAGTCATTGGTTATATTATATAAGCTTCCAATCTACTATTAATACACTAATCTGGGTAAATTATAACGACCTCACTGCGACCTCACTGGAATCATGGTTAATAAGGGAAATTATCCCCAAATGGCCTTAATTCAGGTTAGTGAATTATTATAATTTACCCAGACTAATGTGAATTTACTGGAGTGTAATCCCCGTCATTTCACCTGAGAGGACCTCCAAATCGAGTCGCCCATTGGCTACGTGCGGAGCAAGGCGCGGGGAGAGCTGCAGATCCATCTGTGGATGGCGAAAATGGCGCACAGCAGCTTGGAGCAATGGACTCTGAATGGTGATACAGTATGTATATATATATATATATCTATATACATACAGTACTACAATATAATATATCACAATATAATAACATAGACCCGGGCAAGCCGGCGGCGGAAGTTTCCCAAACATAAATGACCTATAGTTCAAAGACAACCTGTCCCGACCGTGTCCTTCCCTCGACACTCCACACCTCACACTGCACACTGCACTCTTCGCACTCCAAACTTCAAACTTCACACTCCACACTTCTCACTTCTCACTGCTTCCTTCACACTCCAAACCTCACACTTCACACTTCACACTTCACACTGCACACTTCAAACTTCACAGTCCACACTTCACACTTCACAGTCCACACTTCACACTTCACACTTCACAGTCCACGCTTCTCACTTCGCACTTCACACTTCACACTTCACACTCCACATTTCACACTTCTCACTTCTCACTGCTTCCTTCACACTCCAAACTTCACACTTCTCACTTCGCACTTCACACTCCACACTTCACAGTCCACACTTCACACTTCTCACATCTCACTGCTTCCTTCCCACTCCAAACTTCACACTCCAAACTTCACACTTCACACTTCTCACTTCGCACTTCACACTCCACACTTCACTCACACTTCACTCACACTTCACACTTCACAGTCCACACTTCACACTTCTCACTGCTTCCTTCACACTCCAAACCTCACACTTCACACTTCACACTTCACGCTGCGCTCTTCGCACTCCACACTTCACACTCCACACTTCACACTTCTCACTTCTCACTGCTTCCTTCACACTCCAAACTTCACACTTCTCACTTCGCACTTCACACTCCACACTTCACAGTCCACACTTCACACTTCTCACTTCTCACTGCTTCCTTCCCACTCAAAACTTCACACTCCAAACTTCACACTTCTCACTTCTCACTTCGCACTTCACACTCCGCACTTCACTCACACTTCACACTTCTCACTTCTCACTGCTTCCTTCACACTCCAAACCTCACACTTCACACTTCACACTTCACACTGCGCTCTTCGCACTCCAAACTTAAACTTCACACTCCACACTTCACACTTCTCACTTCCCACTGCTTCCTTCACACTGCACACTTCACACTGCACACTTCACACTGCACACTTCACACTGCACACTTCACACTGCTCTAAACCTAGGTGCAACAAAAAAACACTAGCGCCAAAATGGAGAAAATCTGCTAACAAATCCATTTCGCAGCCTTCATGCAGCCAGTCCAAGACGATGTACGAGATCCAGCTGCAAAAGACATTACGCATGCAGCCACAGCAAGAAGCAACCTTGACGCAGCCATTCCAATGCGATCTGCGGAGACTGAGTTGCAAAACACAATAGAACTACGCGCAACGGCGTCGGAAATTGTAGCTCCAAAACCGGACCTCGACGCCAGAGCGAAAAAAAGACGATTTTGATACACTTTTTAAAAAGATTTTTAGAAGGAAAATCACTAGCGCCAAAATGGAGAAAATCTCCTGACAAATCACTGTCGCAGCCTTCATGCAGCCACTCCAATACGATTTACGAGATCCAGCTGCAAAAGACAATAGTATTACGAATGCAACCACAGCACGAAGCAACCTTGACGCAGCCATTACAATGCGATCTGCAGAGACTGAGTTGCAAAACACAATAGAACTACGCACAACGGCGTCGGAAATTGTAGCTCCAAAACCGGGATCTCGACGCCAGAGCGAAAAAAAGACGATTTTGAAGCACTTTTTAAAAGAATTTTTAGAAGGAAATTCACTAGCGCCAAAATGAAGAAAATCTGCCAACAAATCACTGTGGCAGCCTTCATGCAGCCACTCCAATACGATTTACGAAGTCCAGCTGCAAAAGACAATAGTATTACGTATGCAGCCAAAGCAGGAAGCAACCTTGCAATCCCATTTACATTGCGGGAAGGATACTACAGTTGCAAATCACAATGGAATTCCATTGGCAACTCATCCACCAGCACCACTTGCAATCCCATTTACATTGCGGGAACGATCCTACAGTTGCAAATCACAATGGAATTCTGTCGACCGCACATGCACGAAAAACAGGTGAAACCCATTTACAATGCGGAACCGATCCGAGCATGATCCGCCCATGATCCGAGCATGATCCGACCACACACGAGACCGTCTCGCACCCGTCGCACCGCAGAGGTAGATCATCGAGGTTCGGGGACAGACTTTGTATGGAAAAACATAGGGTTTCGTGCATCTGCTATCTCTCAAAAACGCATTTCGTGCGAGACTACGAATGCAACCACAGCACGAAGCAACCTTGACGCAGCCATTACAATGCAATCTGCAGAGACTGAGTTGCAAAAGACAATAGAACTACGCGCATTGGAGTGCGGAAATTGTAGCTCCAAAACCGGATCTCGACGCCAGAGCGAAAAAAAAACGATTTTGAAGCACTTTTTAAAAAGATTTTTAGAAGGAAAATCGCTAGCGCCTAAATGAAGAAAATCTTCTGACAAATCACTGTCGCAGCCTTCATGCAGCCACTCCAATACGATTTACGAAGTCCAGCTGCAAAAGACAATAGTATTACGTATGCAGCCAAAGCAGGAAGCAACCTTGCAATCCCATTTACATTGCGGGAAGGATACTACAGTTGCAAATCACAATGGAATTCCATTGGCAACTCATCCACCAGCGCCACTTGCAATCCTATTTACATTGCGGGAACGATCCTACAGTTGCAATTCACAATGGAATTCTGTCGACCGCACATAGACGAAACACAGTTGAAACCCCATTTACAATGCGGAACCGATCCGAGACCGATCCGACCATGATCCGAGACCAATCCGAGGATGATCCGAGGATGATCCGACCACACACGAGACCGTCTCGCACCCGTCGCACCGCAGAGGTAGATCATCGAGGTTCGGGGACAGACTTTGTATGGAAAAACATAGGGTTTCGTGCATCTGCTATCTCTCAAAAACGCATTTCGTGCGAGACTTCCTTCAAAACTCCATCAGCAACTCATCCGGCAGCACCACTTGCAATCCCATTTGCATTGCGGGAACAATCAATGCCCTAACTAACTCTTGCTTTAACTAACCCTTTCCCTGACGAACTCTTTCTTTGCTAACTCTTTCTTTGACTACCTCATATATCCTGACTAACTCTGTCTTTGACAAACTCTTTCCCTGACTAACTGTTTCTTTGACTAACTCTTTCTTTGACTAACTCTTTCCCTGACAAACTGTTTCTTTGACTAACTCTTTCTTTGACTAACTGTTTCTTTGACTAACTGTTTCTTTGACTACCTGTTTCTTCGACGAACTCTTTCTTCGACGAACTCTTTCTTTGACTAACTGTTTCTTCGACGAACTCTTTCTTCGACGAACTCTTTCTTTGACTAACTGTTTGACTAACTGTTTCTTTGACTAACTCTTTCTTTGACGAACTCTTTCTTTGACTAACTGTTTCTTTGACTACCTGTTTCTTCGACGAACTCTTTCTTCGACGAACTCTTTCTTTGACTAACTGTTTCTTTGACTACCTGTTTCTTTGACTAACTGTTTCTTTGACGAACTCTTTCTTTGACTAACTCTTTCCCTGACTAACTGTTTCTTTGACTAACTGTTTCTTTGACTAACTCTTTCCCTGACTAACTGTTTCTTTGACTAACTCTTTCTTTGACTAACTCTTTCTTTGACTAACTGTTTCTTTGACTAACTCTTTCTTTGACTAACTCTCTGTTTGACTAACTGTTTCTTTGACTAACTCTTTCTTTGACTAACTGTTTCTTTGACTAACTGTTTCTTTGACTAACTGTTTCTTTGACTAACTCTCTGTTTGACTAACTGTTTCTTTGACTAACTCTTTCTTTGACTTCTAAAAGTCCGTAACACGGAAGTTTCTCCCACTAAACTTCCTTTGACAATACAATAAAACGCAACATACAGTAATATAATATGATATAATAAAATACAATACAATACAATACAATATAATATAATATAATATTATACAATACAATCTAATGTAATATACTATAATACAATACAATTTAATGTAATATAATATGATATAATTTGATATGATATAAAATCATATATAATAGAATATAGTAATATATTATAATATATCATATAATATTATATTCTTTTTTATTTTAAATTATGTTATATAATATTATACATGTTCATATTATATTTTAAAATATTATATGTATATATATATATATAACTAAGCAGTATTAAACAATGCGATATAACTAAGCAATATGTAATATGTACCCAAATAGCATCTGGTAAATCAAGATCTAGATGTGGAATTCCAGTGAAAACTCCACAGGAAAAAGATTTTGGAAACGGTGGGGTTTCCACATCTCTGCTGATTTGCGAGAAGGTATGCAGTATTCTTTTCACAAAGGGTATGATTCCCTTCCCAACCATATGCAAATTCTTTAAATTTATTTATTTATTTTTCAGCAGTTGCCACTCCGAAAGAATATTCAAAGAGTGTTTCTTTCAAGCAACATTCTTCCTACAGCATGTCTTTCAGAGAGTGTGCTGTTGCTGTTTCTTGATTCAGGCATGCGCAAACTGCCTTGCCTCCTGTCTTTCCATAGAATAGAAGATATCTGACTGCGGAAAACATGCATCCTCACCCTCAAATAAATAAGGTCTTATGCAGAAAGGTTATTTACCACAATCAGCTGGACAAATGAGTGTCCCTGTCTTTGTCCCTATTTTTTTGCCAGGGCTTATTATTTATTAAGGAGTTCCATATCACCCCCATAAAGGTTTGGATTCAGTCACTGCTCAGTTCATCAGGAGCTTGTCAATCGTCGGAATTGAAGACACCTTAACCAACAATCATTTTTCAATGGTACAACGTTAGCCCTAATTGACCTTAATGAACCTTTAACTAAACTCAGTTAACTTGGCCCGAAAAAACTCCATCAGCGGCTGAGGCCGGAAGGTCGCCACCGTCGTCCTGCGACCTGGGCACATCTTTGGGGCGCTGGAAGATCTGGATGTCATGGCAGCAGATGCCTTGGCAGGTGGACCATGTGAGGGAGCTGGAGGTGTCTAGACCAAGGGATATATATATATACGTATATATATATATATATGTATGGTATGTGTGTAGGTGTGTATATATATATATACACGTACACTAGCTATTACATTCTTGTTTACATGTATATTCATTTTTGTTTGTATTAGTATGACGTATGATATACTGTATATGTATATGCATACAAAACCTGAAGAAAGCATGTGTTCCCATGTCGACTCATGAGTCATATACTGCAAGCGTGCTGGATTCGCGGCGCAGGTTTCTTGCGCAAGTTCCCACCGGTGCAACTCGGCCCGGCAAATGCGACAATGTCTCTGGTTTCGGTGCCGACAGTCGTGGAGGCTGGGGTGACTTTCCACTGACCAACGGGACGGCTGGAATCCGTGTTATGGGTGATATTCGTCCGATGTTGTGAGCATGTCCGAAAGTTGGGATCCCCAAAATTCCCACAGTGACCTTCTTTAGGAGTGGATATTTCATTGTATTTCCAGTGGTCTTGTGTACTATCTCCATACAAATATATTATATATACATGTGAAACTTGGATGAGGCTTTGTTAAGCTCATTGCCAGGAAAACAAACAAAAGGTTCCGGAGTCTCCACTACTCACTGTGTGTATGCAACACCCTGATCCCAGAAACGGGGCCGCCATTTTGGAAGCCTTTCCTTCCTCCGGCAATATTGCGGCCCTGTTTTTGGGGCCGGTTTTGGCCCCATTTTTGGGACCACGAAAGAGCAAACAGGAGCTGCTCGACGGTCCTGACGGCCCGGATTTCGTCCATTTGCTGGTGCCAGCTTTCCTTCTGCAATGCAAGCCGCCATGGACACACACATCCGTATAATACTATGAGGGGGCATGGCGCAGAAGCTGTTTTGAATCAGTGAAAAGGGCCCACTTTCCGGGGCCGCAAGAATCCATGCTAACCTCTTGCGCTCTGGCAGCGTGCCGCCTTTACAACGCTTTTGTTAGGAAGCTGTTTTGCGTGCATCTTGGGAGAAGTGTGTGGCGTGCAATTGTTGCCGTGCATCCCATCCGCGTGCTTTGGAATATAATAATTATATATGGCCGAAGCGCTAAAAGGGACGTAATCCCTTATTTACATGTGGGTTTGAGGGGCGTTATCGGGACGTACGAGGGGCGTAGCCACAGATGGGAGGGACGTAATCCCTTATTTACATGCGGGTTGGAGGGGCGTAATCGGGACGATCACAGATGTGAAGGACGTAATCCCTTCTTTACATGCGGGTTGCAGGGGCGTAATCGGACGTACGAGGGGCGTAAGCACAGATGGGAGCGGCGTGATCCTGTATTTACATGCGGGTTTGAGGAGCAATAGTTTCGGGTAGCGTGGTCTCCTTGGAGGTTCTACACCCCTTGCTTGTTTTGGAGCCACATGCCTTCCCAAACATAATCCGTTACAATTGGTTTCCTCACAGTTCGGTAGTGGAGAATGCGTTTGGCTGTCAGTCGGCTTGTGCTCAAACGGCGCTGCCACGAGGGCCCGCTTTTGGGGCCGCATCCGCATATAAAAATGCATTCTTGATGGCGGGCCCTCAATGTATTTATATATATATATACACACACACATAATTACAAAATACATACATATATTTTTATATACACATATATATATATATACACATACACACACACACATATATATATATATACAGATATTTGTACAGATAGATACCCTGAACACTACCGGTCGTGGCCCCCAGCTCCCCCGTTGAGGCGGCAGTCCGTGCCGCGCAGAATGCGCAGAAAGTCAGCGGAAGGTGCTTCGCGGTCAAGGTGCCCCGCCCGTGGGATTCGTTGCACAATGCCGGTTTCGGTCGATTTTTTTTCTCCTGGGAGTCCACTACAAAAATTATCAATCTTGAAATCACGGATTTGCATATTGAACCCAGCAAACCAACCTTGGTTCATTTATTTTTCCCCACATCTTTGTGTGGGGTTCTTGTTTTTGATTCCCTATCCCGGGCCTCCTCCTCGTCCTCCTCCTCCCGCCCCGCCTCCTTCACACAACTTGTCACCCACAACTTTGTCAGACACAACTTGTCACACACAACTTGTCACCCACAACTTTGTCACACACAACTCTTTATCACACACACAACTTGTCACGTGGCAGGCGTGGCACTTGGCGACGGCCACGTCACCCACAACTTTGTCACACACAACTTGTCACACACAACTTGTCACCCACAACTTTGTCACACACACACACAACTCTTTGTCACACACAACTTGTCACGTGGCAAGCGTGGCACTTGGCGACGACCACCTTCGTTTTGCGTGGCAGGGGTGACACTTCACAACAACTTGTCACCCACAACTTTGCCACACACAACTTGTCACACACAACTTGTCACCCACAACTTTGTCACACACCACTTGTCACGTGGCAGGCGTGGCACTTGGCGACATCCACCTGCGTTTTGCGTGGCAGGCGTGGCGCTTGGCGACACGTGCCTTCGTTTCACGTGGCAGGCGTGGCACTTGGCGACATCTACCTGCGTTTTACGAGGCAGGCGTGGCACTTATGGCACTGGGCTGGCTCTGGTGGCGCGCTTGGGCTGGGAGTAGTCGCCGGTGACGCCGCGGCACTTTGCGTGGCAGGCGTGGCACTTGGCGACATGTGCCTTCGTTTCCCGTGGCAGGCGTGGACTTGGCGACATCTACCTGTGTTTTGCGTGGCGTGGCACTTCTGGCACTGGGCTGGCTCTGGTGGCGCGCTTGGGCTGGGATTAGTCGCTGGTGACGCCGCGGCACTTTGCGTGGCAGGCGTGGCACTTGGCGACATGTGCCTTCGTTTCACGTGGCAGGCGTGGCACTTGGCGACATCTACCTGTGTTTTCCGTGGCAGGCGTGGCACTTATATGGCACTGGGCTGGCTCTGGTGGCGCGCTTGGGCTGGGATTAGTCGCTGGTGACGCCGCGGCACTTTGCGTGGCAGGCGTGGCACTTATGGCACTGGGCTGGCTCTGGTGGCGCGCTTGGGCTGGGATTAGTCGCCGGTGACGCCGCGGCACTTTGCGTGGCAGGGGTGGCACTTGGCGACATGTGCCTTCCTTTCACGTGGCAGGTGTGGCACTTGGCGACATCCACCTGCGTTTTGCGTGGCAGGCGTGGCGCTTATGGCACTGGGCTGGCTCTGCTGTCACACACCATCTTTGTCACACACCATCTTTCACACACCGCTTTGTCACACACGATCTTTCACACACCATCTTTGACACACCCTCTTTCACACACACCATCTTTGTCACACACCATCTTTCACACCCAGCTTTGTCACACAACATCTTTGACACACCATCTTTCACACACCACTTTGTCACCCACCATCTTTGACACACCATCTTTCACACACAACTTTGTCACACACCATGGTTGACCCTCAACTTTGTCACACACCATCTTTCACACACCACTTTGTCACCCACCATCTTTGACACACCATCATTCACACACCACTTTGTGACACACCATCTTTCACACACCGTCACAGACCATCTTTCACACACCACTTTTTTCACCATCTTTCGCCACACCATCCTTCACACACCACTTTGTCACACACACCATTTTTCACCACACCATCTTTGACACCCCCTCTTTCACACACCATCTTTGTCACACACCATCTTTCACACACCATCTTTCACACCCAACTTTGTCACACACCATCTTTGACACACCATCTTTCACACACAACTTTGTCACACGCTCTCTTTCACACACAACTTTCACACACACCATCTTTCACACACAACTTTGTCACACACACGCGCACACACCATCTTTCTTTGTCACACACCATCTTTCACATACAACTTGGTCACACACACAACTTTGTTTTACTTCTCGATCCTCCACCACCTCCTTTGTCTTTCCTTCCTTCCCCGTCCCCGCTACAACATTTGGTGCTCAATATTGGAAGAAGTTGCCTTGTGGGGCTATCCGGTCCTTTAATTTTTCCTGTGGCGTATAAATGCCCGGCAACCGGAAAATAACGTTGACACGCTGTTCATGGGGGGGGCGGTTCATTCGAACCTGTACATATGTCAAAAGCCAGGAAAAACGTGTCCCATGATTGTTTGAGGCGAGGTGTTTTTTCTGAATGCGTAGCAAGGGTTCCCGTTTCACTCTGGGGGTCTGGGGGTTGAGGGTGTGTTCGCTCGACGTCGCGTTTGGCGCAGTACTTTTCGTTTTCAGAAGATGAGTTGCATTTTTGGGAGACCTCCATGGTCCTTTTGCGTGGCAGGCGGCAGGCGCAGCACTTCAGACGTGTCGTGCTGCGTGTCCTTTGCAAATCGCATTGTCGGGGCTGCGTCAAGTGGTGACAACGTGCAAATTCCGTGGCAGGCGTGGCATTTTGTGAGATGTGATGAAAATGGACGGAAGCCTGGCACGAAACATCAATTTTGAGGTAGACAATTTTGAGCTTTATGAGAAAACTCATAGGAAGACGTCGATTTTGGAGCTACAAAACATGAAAGTTTGAGGAAGTCTCGCACGAAATGCTCGTTCTGAGGCTCCAACATGTCTTGTCTCGATTCTCTGGTTTTCTTGCGGCGTCGCCATTTCTTCGGGGAAGCTGCAAAACCTCTCATGAGCGAAGATTTCCCAACAGCTTGTCATGTAGTTTTGCCTGGCACGGGTGGAACTTCGTGACATCCTCACGTGTCTGCAAGAGGTGTCGAAAGTGATTTTGTGTGACAGGCGCAAAACTTTTGCAAGTTTATCAGAAAATGATTTGAATTTTTCGTGGCCAGCGGAGCACTTCGAACGTGTCCATCTTCATTTTACGTGGCAGGCGCAGCACTTTAGGCGTGTTGTGTTGCGTGTTTTTGGCGAGTGGCATTGTCAGGGCTGCATCAAGTGGTGACAAAGTGCATATCGCGTGGCAGGCGTGGGACATGTGTGGAGTTTCATTTTCCTGGCAGGCGCAATATTCGGCCACTCTGCACTTTACACTCCACACTCCACACTTTACACTTTACACTTCGCACTCTACACGTGATACTCTACACCACACTTTACACTTTACACTCCACACTTTACACTCCACACTTTGCACTTTACACTCTGCACTTTACACTCCACACTCTACACTCCACACTCTACACTCCACACTCGACACTGTACACTCCACACTCCACACTCTACACGTTACACTTCACACTCTACACTTTACACTTTACACTTCGCACTTTACACTCTACACTTTACACTTCACACTTTGCACTTTTTACTTCCAACACTTAACACCCCACACTTTACACTCCACACTTTAGACCTTACACTTTACACTCTACAGTGCGCACTAGACACTTTACACCCTACACGCCGCACTTGACACTCCACACTCCACACTTTACACGCCGCACTTTACACTCCACACTCCACACTTTACACTTGACACTTCGCGCTCTACACTTTACACTTTACACTCCACACTTTACACTCTACACTCCACACTCTACACTCTACACTTTATACTTTCACTGTACACTTCACACTCTACACTTTACACTCCGCACTCCACACTTTACACTACACTTGACACTTTATACTCCACACTTTACACTCCACACTTCACATTTCACACTTTACACTTTACACTCCACAACCCCCACTGCACTACATTTCCAGCTCAACACTCCACTTTCTTTACGGTCCGCACTTTGCACTGTTTCACATTCCACTGTCTACATTGCACTGGTACGGTAACAGGGGAAAATTTACAAGACGGTTCGAATAATTGTTGCCAAAAAAGTGTTTTACGTGACTGCATTCGGGTTTGTGGGCTGCATCTTTTTTTGAAATATTTGATCGCCAGGTTGGGCACAAGGATTTTAATTTTGTGTACTGGTACAATGCTGGAATTACATAGGTCAGACATCAGAAAATGAATCTTTTCCAGTACTTTGTGGACAAAGGTTGCTAGAAAGGTCAGGGCACCAGGATTTTAATTGTCAGAAAGGACAGGACCCACAAATTTAACCCAGTTATTTTCCTGGACAGGACCCTCTGGGGTAGACCAGAGTGGGATAACCAATCAAACCGGTGATCTAACCAATGAAAAATGGTGAGGTAACCAGTAAATTGGGATTTAACCGATAAAAATGGTGATTCAACCAATGAACATGGGGATTCAACGTGATTTAACCAACAGAAGGGAGGGCTTAATCATCAATAACAACGGGATTTAGTGAGATATGAACAAGGAAACTTGGGATTCTTCCACCAACAATCTTGCGTTTGGGGGTTTAATCCAGCAGAAATTAAATTTTGACTGACAACAAGTGGGATCCAGCAAGGCCGGGGATTTAATCAAGAGAAACTCGGATTTAACGAAGGAACGCGTTGGATTTAAGCAACGAAAATGGGGATTCAACACAAATTGGGATTCAACCAGACACGAAAATGTGAGGAGGCCACCAATCAATATAGAAGAAGTCGCCAGGATTCTCGGGGATGGATGTGTATGTGCTGTATCTACACACACACAGGTACATTATATATATATAAATGTATGTATGTATGTATGGATGTAATGTATGTATGTATGTATGTATGTATGTATGTATGGATGGATGGATGGATGGATGGATGGATGTATGTATGTATGTATGTACGGATGTATGTACGGATGTATGTACGGATGTATGTACGGATGTATGTACGGATGTATGTACGGATGTATGTATGTATGGATGTATGTATGTATGCATGTATGTATGTATGCATGTATGTATGTATGTATGTTTGTTTGTTTGTATGGT